ACTCGAAGTTAAATGAGGACGAAAATAAAAGTAATCGATTAATAGTTATGGCGTTTGAAGAAGAATTTTTTATGTTCGAGATATCAATGTTCAATTTACCAACAGTCGATTGTCCGACTGTATAATATAGTTTTAATTTATAAGTTTTATATCCTATGCATCCAAATGGGAAATCTCTATTTCGTACATGAAGTCTACAATTAGATATTAAAGATAATAATTTGATATAATTATTGCACACAAGTGTAATCAATGGAAAACTGCAGAAAGTTGTTAAGTGTTTAAGCGCCTACCTATTATAGGTACCCACAAGGATAACATAATACAGTTATGCAATCATTAAATTAACGACACTCAGAAGTGACTGATTGCAACTTTTTTCTGTTTTTGAGTACGCTTCGAGTTTTGTGCGTAAGTGTTGGTCGTTTTCCGTTTAGTTAGATAATATTCACAAAAAATGCCAAAAACGAAAAACAAAGTACGACTCGAGTTTACAAACGCTGAAAAAGTAAAATAGATGGTAAATTGTACAGTAATAATATAAATTGGTTAACGCATGCCGTGAGAATGTAAAAGACGAACCTAATGCGTCCTAAAAGTTGAGAGATGGAAAAAAGATGCAGCTGGATTATTTTCTGGTTTACAGTAAGTATATAAATGTTTAATGAAATAAATCATTACTTTGTTTAGGTCAGGTAATCGAATCAGAAACTGTAGATGTTTCTCGTAAAACATTAAGCATTTTTATTAAAAAAATTATATACTTTCATCAGACTAGCTAGCAACTCAACCGGAACATATCATTTTCAAACACAATTCAATGGAAAAACTTTGTATTTTATTTCTTGGAATACCTATCTTTTCGCATACATAGTGATTGTTAAAAGTATAGGTAAGTACTTAAAATTGTATGGGAAAATTTTTTTTTCTTTAGAGTGGAACACACACTTTTAAAATAGAAACACACTTTAATTTGTTCTGTGTACCGGGACACCTACAGGTAGTGCAAATTTCAATTTGATTAGTAAACTACTCAATTCTCACAACCTCATACATTTAGGTACACAAACTTAAGCTAACATATTCATATATTTTGTTATTAATATTTACGTTCTATCGCACGTGTATATAAATATAGGTATAGGTGTTTGAGCATAAGCACCATTGACCTTTGTCGTATTTATATTGCATTTTAGTATCATATTAAGAGTTCACTTTAGGTACACAATGTATAGGTAGGTAGGTAGGTACATATTACATATTATAATATATTTTATTATATTTATATCAAATATGAGAATATAACTCCGTATAAATCAACATTACTGGCGAGACCATGTAATAACTTTTACTTATTGTCTCTACGGCACGTGCTAGTGTGCTACAATGTAATATGTCGTTCGACCGTCTGTTAGAGTAGGTGAGAGATCATGAAGGTCGCACTGATCGATGATAATCAGCGTTTAGACACTTTTAAACGTGTATTCGGACATCCCGAATATTAAATAACCAAAAAATTATGTATTTTTTGACTCTTTACTCTGGTCGTACTTACAGAGTACTTGACAAAGTTGAGGTGGAAAACTTCTTCTGGCTATTTTGACAAAGTCTCAGTAAACACAGGAATATTTCTATAGAAACGAATCTTGCAATCGGGGAGACTTTGACAAGACTCAAGGAGAAGTTTAACCATTTAACTTTTTTGATTTATCATGTTGGGTGCAGGTATCATTTTCTAACTATAGTTACTATACTAAGTCTCAAATTGTCACAAATATCGACAAATTGTTTAGTTATTATTTTACATTTGGACATGGGTATAGGCTACTTATACACGAGTTGGCCTGCCATATCCATATTGATATTTTGTCTGTAATTCACAAACTCTGATGGTGGACTAACAAAATATTTTGTATTATGTATCGGGGTCTCATTGACCCAAATGTCTATTGCACACCAGTCCGACCCTGGTGACTGAACATTCGCATTAACGGAATTATTGCGCAGTAGGTACATGTGCGATGTGCTATGTGCATTAAGTCAATCAAAACAATGCATAGGTATGTAATTTTAAATATCCACAGGCCACAGCAGACGTTTCCCCAAAATATAACACGATTGTTTTCTGACGAACGATTGTGACTTCTATACAGTCGATTATTATTATAGTTTGAAAACGTTATGACTTATATATGTGTAGCTGTTTAGTCTGTAATCAAATGTTCGTGGTGATTGAAAACCGCAAACATTCGCTACAAGTGAAACCACCCTATAAGTGTCATAAACTTAAAACGCTGTGACACATTATTTGGGAGTTAAATCACATTTCAATCAACAAATGTATAACGTGCGCATAAAATATAATCATATTATATAACCGTTTAATACCAATACTGCAACTGATATTAAATTCCATTAAAATATCCAATAAATATTAAAACCGATTAATTAAACTAAATGAAAAAATGCACAAAAGATTAGTCATGAGGCAGTAGCATATATTAAATGATATCTTTGTGAGTTATGACGTACATGTGATTAATATTTAAAAGATATTTTATTACCTATTATATAACACATGTATTTTGCATAGGTACTATTCATCATATTTGAAAACTCAAATTTGATTAGGTTTGTAAAATAGGTACTAAAATGCATTTTTTTTAAATTTTTTTTTCAGTTTGAGTTCTGTGATTTAATAACCTATATTTTGTTTAATACAATAACATAAAGACATATTATATAATAATTACACACAATGAGTTGTTTTAATGAGAGTAATGTATTTAGTTTCAGAGATTTCCTTTTTAGGATATCTACTCGTTTATAGTGTTTTAAGTGCCGATAAGGCGATAAATGATATCAATCAGATATACCTACTATGTACGCGGAGTGTCCAGAGCATACGAGTACCTATACGACTGACATACTTAAACGAAAATGAAACAGTATGAGTAATGAATATAGGTACATTTTTACTATCATTGTTGTGCGTTTAAAGGATGGGTAATTTAAAACCAAAACTTTTATACTTTGCGGTAGATTCCCTTTAACTCTAATAACGAACGACCGATCATTCTTCGTCCATTTTTCCATATAATAAATTTTAGAGAGCCCATTGTCCATTGGGGCTGGACAGTATCTATAAAGCAGATAATATCCTACCTTATAGGATGTGTTATAGTGAATCACCAGTTCTAATCACTGAATATATATTTTATAATTCTATTAACTAGGTATTATAGTAAAGGTATTGCGTTTATCAACGTTAAGTGCGATCATCCTGGCTACGTATATTTAATCACTGGAACACTGTCAGTAATTAAAGTAAGTCAGTAAAAACGATTAACAGCCATCGAAAATGCGTCTAGGAAATGACTTGACGTCTTGACACACATCTTAAACAACAAACAGAATATGTAAGTTTTAGATTTAGTTTTAGATAAGTTCCTTGAAGATTTTTACTAAGCATTTCGAAATATTATTAAAATATTGAATAAATTATTTATAGAATAATAATTATTATTTTGTCTATCATTCATAATTATTACATTTAATATATTAATAAATAACATAACACTAGGTAATATAACTTAAATAATATATGATAATTGATATTATTACCTTTATATAATATATTACGCTATTCAGCATATAATTATACCTATTATCATTATATAAATCTATACAAAGGTCGTATAGCTACCTATATACTGATAAAGACAAAATCAATATAATAGGTTCGTAAATACTAAATATAAACCTAATTATAAAGTTAGTTATTTATTTTAATAATAATGCAGTTATTGTTAATAATGATTAAGAATCTAAATAGAAATATGTATTGTAAATATGTCTCAAAATGTAAAACGATATGTTTATCTATACATATTGTACCTACACTGACACACTGTAATGCCTTATAAACATTCAACATTTAAGTGTTCAAATTAATATGAATGTATGAACTCCTATATATTTTATATGATATATTTCATAGAACTCAGTTGGTAGGTAATATACGTTTTATCAATTCATAAACTTACGTAGACAGTTGCCAAACATTATCATAGATAAAAAATACAATTTTTGGTAACTATTCGAATGAAACTTTAGAAGTATATTTAAATTGATAGAGGTATCTATAATCTATTAGAAGTTAGTTGTTAGTATAGGCACTCGCTATTCATATAGTTAAAAAATAATGAAATATGAATACTCCAGAAATTATGATAAATAAAATAATAAAAACTGGTTTTATTAGAAAAAAGTTTGGTTTGTCAATTCTAATTTTAAAACTGTATCTATGCATTTTTTAACGGAAACCATTATTAAAGGAGTTACTTAGAAAAGGCTAAAATCTATTGAAAATATTGAGGCTACTATTTTTCAAAAGAACCTAAATAGTGGGGGGCTTGGGTCCTTCACAATAACTGTCGGAATTTCGGAGGGTGCTCGACGTACTATTGGGGGCTAAGCCCCCCCCCCCGGATTTCTGCCTATGTGCTCTGGTGATTGGTGTGTTCATAAAATAAGAGTTTGTGGTTCAATTCCCAATATCATATACTATTTTTCGAGATTTACAAATAGCCCCCCCCCCCTGTACTGGGGCTTGGTAAAGTGCATTTGTTCCGAACAACACTATTAATTCTGGTTTTGCAAAATTCACTTACAAGTTTTCTGGACAAAAAAATCACAGTTACAATAACTTTAGGATAGATTTTAATTGATGCATACATTGGATTTAAGTTTTTAAAATATTTTTCTTTTATTGATTTAAAATAAAAAATAGAAAATATAGTTAGAATTAAATCTATATTCTATACTCAAAATTGTTTTGAAGACGTACGGATTGCCGCTGTTAGAAGTTGTAATCGTGATTAATCATGGTTTCAGGTTATTGTCACTAACTTCATGTATTGGAATAGCCGGGGTCAATGCGATTGGCGGGCGGACGATAGTCAACGGTTGTGATAATGATTATCAGTGAACACTGAACATAATATTATCATGCTTTCTTCGTGACTTCTCGTGCTGCATAAAAGTAATATCTCAAATATTTAAATTTAAAAACACAGTTTTTTGATTTTTTCAATTCAATCTAATAGTTGTTTGAAGTTTTTTCGTTCCTAAACGGTAGTATAATGTCAGAAGAGCCAGCGGTAAACGGTGTCGGCGGTACCGACGAACAAACCGACAATGTAGATGATGTGAATGCTAAGAAAACAGTGAAATATGACAGCGGAGCAGCCGATCTAGAAAAAGTGACTGACTATGCGGAGGAAAAGGAAGTCATTTCGACTGATGACATATCTGGAGTAATTAGTACACTATTTATATAACTCATGTGAGCAATATAAAAATATATTATCTGTTGAATAGGCTATGACCATTATTGGTGACAGGAGGTTAAAAGAAGCGGCAGACAAAATAGCAAAAGAAAAAGAACTTCAAAAGGTCTCCATAAAAAAGACTGATGTTGAACTGATTGTAAGTTAATAAGTTCAAATGCCATTAGGTTAAAGAGTGAGACGTACTATATTTTTTTGCATAATATCATCACTTTATTTGAACATGATTGGTAACATTGGTAACCGAAAAATAATGTTATGTTTTGTTTACTATGTATTCTAATACTTCATAGTAGTATTTTAGTGTATTTATATAATGTTATTAGCACACTGTGGTTCATATTTTCTCAAATTAGATAGGTAGGTATTTATAATTTTTAGCAAAAAAAGTACATTTTTTTTCTGATTAATCTAAAGTTTCTTTTATGAAAAAGGTTTCCATATTTTAAATGCATACTATCAAAAATATTTACATATTTATTAAAATATTTTACTTTCAAGTTTTTCGACCGACCTAAAATTTGTATTGTCAACAATTTAAAAAAAACTAATACAATTTGAAATTTTCTTATGCCTATAAATGGCTCAAAAAGAGAAAATATTTTGAAAATTGTTAGGTGTATTTAAAATACAAATCTAAACATTCAGTGAAAATTTCATAGGATACATAGTTTCACCAAAAAACAAAATTGATTTTATCAAAACTGGGTTTAATTATTTTTCTATTGTTTCAACACTTTACAATGTCGGACATTTTACCGAGTAAATTAAAATAATAACTTAAACGTCTTAATCAATTATAAAGTAATAAAGTAAACCGTAAAGAATATCAAGTTGGACAATGGTCTTTTCAATTTCAATAATGAGTCAACAATATAGTCACTATCATAATCAAACCAATAACCATATCATATAATATTTTAATAATATATTTTGTAATATGGACATATTATCATAGTAGTGCAGTCTGCGCAGTCCTGAGCCATGCAGACAGCAGATACAAGTCCCAACAAATATTATGACTATTTTTAGGTTTTACAATCGAAATACCTATTGCAGAAATGAATTTAAAAATGTAATATTATTTTACAACTGTCTATAATCTTAAATTGTTACGACATTGAAATTGAAATTCATTTTAATCTGACTAATTGTACGTTAGTTGGATATTATTATTTTGCCGACTTTAATTTAAACAGATAAAAAATCTCGGGCATAAGTCACAAAAAAATATGTTATCCTTACCATTGATTTTAAATCTGTAGTTTAAATAATATAGTATTTGTATAATACCCATCATCTAAAGCAGGGAGCCACAGCTTCATTGCTCCCCTTTACTGGGAGCCTTGTCATGGACCAAGACATGATGACAACTGAAACTTGACAATCAACCAACACAATGGTCACAGGCCCATTTCTCTACCGCCAACCATAAACAAGTAACACATGATCCAAATCTATCCGCTGATCATGGCACCCTATATTATTTGTTTTTATTTTATAATTGTTATTATTTTCTAAATGATGATCCAATGATTCATTATTTTGGTTATTATGTGGTATGGTTATTTGTTCTTAATTAGGTGCCAATAAATTATGACATATATTTTATTCCAACTGCTAAAAAAATATTTGACATTAGTTTACCCCAAAACAACCGTTAATAAAATATAAGCCTTATTACTATAACCTATCATACTAACTTATATTTTCAATATTTGGGAGTTTAAATAATAGGATATTTTATTTGCGTTTGGTATAATAATTAGAATAATATGAAAATTGTATACGTCAATGTTTTAGATATACCTACAATATAAATAGTCGTAGAATTTTAAAATGCTGATCTTGTTCTAATGTTAAAATATATGTATAAACAAAGCCTATGTGAAGTCCTTGATAATATTCTTGGCTTTAAATTTCACAGAAAGTTTCAATTCACTAAAATATTTAAAATAGCAAAGTAAAAAGTATTCTTCTGAATACAAAATGTTATATGTTATGCATGAGTAAGATGGAGTCAACGCATCCTATTAATTTGTATTGATAAGCAATACAATTATTGATAAAAAATAACCAATATTTTATTTGTTATGAAAAACTTAATAAGACTACATTATATTAAAATAAAATTTTCAATTTCAATGGTCATTGTTGCAAGATTTAAATTTTAATATTTAAATATTTAAAATAGATTAAAGTAAATATAAATTATTATGGAAGTATTTTTCTAAAATTCAATATATTTTATATTAACATATCTTTCTATTGTAAAACCTTAATGATCTTCCATCAACCATCTCAGATTCTAAAACCAAATGATTAAATAATCTACAGTTTTAGCTACCTAAGAAAGAAATATCTTTAGCAATTTTCTTAAATTTTTGTTTAGTCACACTATGTTATACACAATTAATAAATTCATAATTATAATAATTTATTAAGTTGTATTTAAACATATTTAAAATAGTATAAATTATTATTATTTTTATACTTTACTAATTCGATTATAATTTTATTGAAGAATTGTTAGTTAATGTTTATAAAACTATTGTATATAATATGTAATTTTAATTATTATTTAACCGTGCCTAGATTAAACTTTTAACTTAAATTTTATCAATCATAATATGAATTTATAGAATTGGTACTTTAGTAGATTTATTATTTTTTGTTTAATGACATAATATGCATAATATTAGAAGTTTTTTTGAAGTTTAATTTAGATAACTAAAATTCAATATGGATTAAAAAAACATGTAAGTACTTAAGTGTTTTTTATGAGTTATATCACTAATAAGACTATGTACCAGCTGAATACCCAAACCTCAAATGCATGATCATTCAAGATATGACGACTAGTGATCAAAATCTTTAAGTAATATTTGCTTAGGTCATAATATAACCTACTTGACTTTCTATGTGCCTATGTTCATTACTGATCAATTATGACATTTTATAAATTAGTATTTTATATATATATATATATGTGTGTGTGTGTGTGTGTGTTCAGTGTTCTTATAAATTATTAAGTATATTATAATTATTTATAAACTTATGTCTGGAAAAAAGTGAAATGTTATAATACTTATACTTATCCTAGTAGTATTCTTTTTAATTTTTTAAGTACCAATGCAATTCAATAGTTGAAACTCTAAAAATTAATATTAACTAATGTGTTTGTATCTAAGACTAGTTTTTCTCTGACTCATACTAATAACATGATAGATAATTTAACCTATTGTGATTGGTTTATTTAAAATAACATAATTTATAACTTATTAAACATACTAGGCCGTCTTACATACTGTGACACAATTAAGATATAGTAAAAATATAGTTAAGATTAGTAATTAGTAAAATACCACTGAATTATAAATTGAATGCTTAGAATAAACATATTTGATGTTTACACATTCTAGAAATTTGATTGGCTAACAAACCAGTGTGAAAAATAACTCACCGGGTGTTTGGACCATTTACATAGATCATTATCCCAGTGCTGAATAATATAGGATAATTTTAAACCGGTTTAGTCTAGCAAATTTTCAGATTATATATATATATCATGCTTCAGGTAATAAAACTAAACTGATTGTTTCAAAAAATGTTCAATACTTTTGAAACCAGTGTATGTTTATTGTTTAAAAAAACACACTGATTAAAATGTATTTAAATATTATTAATATATATTTATATATTTAGTTATTATCTAAGTGTACAGGATGATTCACCAAGTATGCTCACCCCCATTTTTTCCTTTAATACTGTTTTTATTGAAATTCTGGTTTTTGGAGTTTTTAAATATGCTCAAAGACCATGATTTCAAACTCTTGAATTTTTTTGTACTACTCATGGAGTGTGTTTTGTGGTAAAACAAATTTCTGTTTTTCAAATGTGAACCCCTCTCTTTTACTTAACATTTTTTACTGAATGTTTATATGAACATTTTCTGTACAACATAAAATTTTCAAAATATTTTGACTCGTGTTAAACTATATTTATAGGCATATGAGATTTTTGATTTGTATTAGTTTTTTTTAAACTGATGTCGTTAAAAAAATTTCACACACAAAAAACTTGAAAATGTAATACAAGGTTCATCGTAAATTGTTGTTAGTGGAAATTAAAAAAAAAGTTGATCGTAAATCCATAGTAATTTTTTATGTGCGTCTTAATTTCCAGTTTTGACAAAATACTCAAAAATTGTCTAACTATTATGAATTAGAAATTCATAAACATTTTTCTTTTTATATAGAAGATTTGAAAATTTAATACATGGTTTCTTATAAGCGTGTCTACCCTTATCAAAAAAAAAGTTCGACTGGAAAGTCATATTACATTTTTTTGAGTATTAGAAGTCCAAACTTTTACAACATTGGATTCATTTGATTTCTCATGGAATGATTTTCCTATTTTGTTGTAATTAAAAAACGAATAACTGTATAAAAACTTGATATTAACATCAATGTTTATTTTATCATTTCCTATACTTATTACTTCATACAATTTTCAAAATATTTTGACTTGTTTTGATTAATTTATTAATATTTTCAGTTTTTAATTTTTGTAGTTTTGCTGCTGTAAATGTCAAAACAATTTTATTTGTTGGATCAAAAAGCAGTATTATGTGTTATTATTATCAAATAATAAACCAATTTAAACATGAAACGATCGTGTATTAGATATTAATTTCAATGGAAATTTCAATAGATTTCATATTGTATTCTAATTTTTTCGTCTGAAAATCTAAATAGTAATTTGAAATTTCTTTTTTTAATACTACATCATCGCATAGAGCGATACCTACATTTTTGTGATTTTATACTTAAATAATAATAAATATTATACAATTATCCTCTTTAATCATAATTATTGTTTCAAGCCTTAGCTGTCGTATAAAACTGTTGTACTAGGTATAGCTTATACTTACCTAACTATAATTAATTGGCATATAAAGAAGCATAAATTACTATTAATCGTTGTAGAAAAAAAAACGTTATTTAACATATTATTATCATAGTATTAACCATAAATGTTTTATAGTTCGTACATTAAGTCGTTGCTTAATACTTTTATGATCTCACGGTGCACGGCGCATGCGTTAAGTACCAAATCGTATCGGGTTATTTACATTGTTACTCTCCGTTACTCATAGCCATTAGCCACATTGACGTCGGCACCTCGATGCCATCAGATTACCGACGGGTATTTATTAATTATTGTAAATCGCACACAATAACAACAACAACAATAATAATATTGATAATTTTATATAATGTATAATAATTTGTGTAATTATAACGGTCCATATCATTTTAAGTGATAAAATTATGTATTTATATTTGTTCACAGATACGAGAAATGGAAATATCGAAAACGCTGGCCGAGAGGACGTTAAGAGAATGTCATGGGGACGTCGTCAAGGCCTTGGTTGCATTGACCAATTGAAAACATAAACCAAAATTTAGAATTTTCTAAGTAAAAAGGAAAAAAATTACGAAAAAAAATTCTACATATTATATATTATATACGAAACACGCTGTAAATAATATTGACTAATGTTCAAACGACACGAGTAAATAAATAAATAAATAATGAAAAAAAAAACTGTTTAACATCAAATAACAATTACGTTCGGAAACTCACGATGTATCACGTTGTAACATAATATTATATATATATATATATATATATTACGGCTTATACAATGTGATTTCTGATGTGTCAGTGTAACCTATTCTATTATAATATTATACCTTTTTCGGATTTGCTAACTGCTGAGTGTTTTTTACTCGGACACGGTATCGGAGTGCATTTAGTGTTTATATCAAAATAATAATATTTTGCACACAAACAGCACACGTCGTGTTAAAATATTATTATTATTAATACAGTTTAATATGAATTATTATTGTACCGTAGTACAATGCTATAATACGTATTACACTAGTACAACACTTATCTAACGGACAAAAACCTTTTGTAACAGTGTTTTAACTGTTTGTTTTATATTATGTGCTAATGCTTATGCATAATATATTATGTACAAAACATAAACTTATGTGTACATATATATATATATATATATATATATAATCATCATCGTTCGGAGCTCTTCGACTTTTATTATCTCGATTACAGGCCAATTATGAGTTTTCCTTCCTCCGCGTCAGTCGTCTCCGTATATTATTATTATTATTATTATAATGTATAGAGAGCAGTGAAATATTAATTATTGTACACATGTGCACCGGTTCACGGCGCGTATACTTCATGTGTATTTAATAAATAATAATATTATCACGATATATTATAATATATACTCATCGACTCATTGTATATTATAGCACCACTCGACAACGAGAGTTCTGTCGTAGGTACAAGTTTTAAATATTTTAAAATATAGTGCAGTTACCCACATCGTGCCATCGTAAGCAACAGGTCGCGCTCTGGCCACCCGAAATAAACGCGTACGCATGTCCGAGTGTTGCAGGGTTATCCGACGGTGTGATGTGATTTATTTATTTTTCGACACTCGCCTTTATTATATTATTTTTTATTGTCATGCCGACGACACCGCAGATGATTATGATCTTTGCGATGGTCCTGACATTCGCGATGTTCGTCTGTTCGGCGTTTTCCGCCGCCACTGCGACGCAACAGTCGAAGTCACTGGACAACAACGAAGCCGGTAAGTCAGTCTTCATTGTGTACTTGGTTATAAATCGTATTGTCGTTAATTATACTCGTTCAGCAACCTTCGAAAAATTGTTTCCCTGTTGAAAAGTTATACGAGAAAATGTTTTTATCATACCTATATTATAAATATATCTATATTGTAATAATTTATGATGTAGATATATATCATGTATAAATTAATAGGTAATTCGGTGTACACCTAAACCCTCTCGACTGTTCAATTATAGCCTCCCCAGTTAATAATAGATATTTTTATCATACAGTGTAAGTACCATTTTATTCGTGCGGATATTAAAGCTTATGAAAAAATAGAGCAGCGAGGTTTCATCAGCGCTCCGAATAATAGAAGTGTATCAAGTTCAGCTTATGCGGCCTCGGTGAAGTTCGTCAAATGTCACCGAGCTGCAAATAATTATACAGCTAATATGCAGCCTGAGGTAGAGTGTCATATTTTATAATTAGTCAGTATATGACGTGTAAACGAACGGGCTTACAGAGCAGAGTACCTACCTATAGGCTATAATACCTATAATATCCCGATTTGAAGATTTCAGACCTTGAACCGAACACGTTTACTTGTTGCGCATATTTAATAACGCAAGTGTACGCGCTGTGCACAAGTGTCTCCTCATTTTTGTCGGGTGCATACGAATAATTATAATATTATGTTAAATTGATGAATAGGTGTAGGTATTAATGCTGTGGCAGTTCACTAACCCTCGTACTGCGTGTTGATAACTTTTCGTGTATGTATTATGCAACAATAAGCAAATACTTATAGCTATGGTTTTATGTAGTTAATCCGATATGATAATTATTCAAAAAAACGCGACGCATAATCAATTGATGAGTGTACACATAAGTATTATATTATACACACCAAGTGTAAATATGGGTGGATATCTATCCCAATTTGTGGGCTCTTAATTTTTAAGGAAATGTCTTAAAGAATAACTGATTTAGACAGCACAAGGTGTACATTTGGTAAGTAATCCAATATTATTGTGATTTTGCCCAGTTCTAGGCCCAAAAAATTAGTTGGTTTCAAAATGGATAAATTCTAGGCAAATAGTATGTGTAACCTGCATAAATATAAGCTACATAGTATCAAATTAAGTTTGTTATATTTAAAATATAGTATTTGGTGGGGAGAGGGGTGATTTGGTGAACATTGATGACCGCAACGTTTAATTTTAATTTAAAATGAAGTAACCATAATAGGTATTGATAGTCACAATAGATCAAAAACTCCACTTTCTTAAGTTGTTTTACTCTAATGAATGGGTGTCAGCCGCAGGGTGTAGGTATAATATGTGTCTTGCTCTCGTTAAGCCAAGGCCTGTGATGTTGGGTTTTACAAAAATTGTTTTCTTTTAAATATATGTTATGCAATATATAATAAATAGCTCTGTAGTACCTATATTAACATTTAAATACTTTTGACTAAAAGTGTTTTAAATATATACATTGGGCCTGATCCTGAACAAACGACTCACCCGGGGCCTTCACTTAAAAGCAACAACAACAAAAAACTTAACAGTTAACTATACCTCTTCCGTTCTATTCTCAAATCAAACCTTTTCCTTAACAATAAAATAATTATTTATAAGTTAATGCTAAGGCCAATTTGGACTCAAGAAATACGGATATGGGGCTGTGCTAACCCATCCCAAACAAAAACAATTCAAACATTCCAATCAATTACTCTCCGTTTACTAAAGTCTTAACCCTGATATGTAACTAACAACTCACTCCACAATTACCTCAAAATGTAAACTATTACCTCAGTTGCATCCAGCCATTACAAAATGTTCACTCATCTAAACTAGCCACCAACACCAATTGTGTCCGCCAGATAATCCCACCCGGCGGCTAAAAAGACGACGGAGCAGGGATTTACTAAATCCCTATAACCATAATGTCATTTGAGGGTTCGGTCACTAGATAGCCTTCGTCCTCATAAATATAGTTTCATGTAAATATATTCTCCATCATTTATCCTATTTGCAAATTGTACATATACTATGCTACAGATTTTAAATTTTCTATTTTAATAAAAAATATACATATATATATATATATATATGTTATATATTATATCGGTTTTTTCGGCCGCCGATCTACACTTAGTGTCCGGCAAGTTCTCCCCTCCACTGTCCTGTGACAGCCTCGTCTGCCGACGGCCGTGCCGCCCAAGACACCCGACAACCTACATATATATTATATATTATATCAAATACTTAGAAATACCGACACAATTCTTTTAAACAAGATGTTTAGTTTGGATTTTTTAAACTGTCATTACCATTTTTAAACAGTATTTCAGTTGTCTCTAACAATAATACGTATAAAATAATAATCTTACAATTCTTTATGTAATGTATTGATGTTTATGACATATAGATATAGATATAAACCATATTATGGCGCAAATTAAGGATTAGACATATTGTATTCGCGGGTGTTCGTAATTATTATAATCATACCATTTTAAAATAAAATTTGTTAAATTTTGCAGCGGCGGAGGACGTATCACGCGAACCGTCAAATTTAAAGCGTATGGTGTTAACGGAATTACCGCTCGTGCACCACTGCAACGACAGCTCACAATGCCCGGCCGCGTTCGGTTTCACTAGGTGTGAGAATCACTTGTGCATGTGCGACGAAAGTTTCTATCAGGTATTCAACAAGACTTCCTCGACGGCCTATTGTCGCCTATGTTCAAGTAAGTCGTATACCTATGATTTTATCCGATTCATGAAAGAATACGTTCAATGTCCATGTACCGATTTGTACCTCTATTATTTTCACCTATAAATACCTCCCTGCAGAAAAAAGAGCACATTGTACCTGTGACCCCGTGAGTTGGAAGAACTTTCAAACTGTTTAAATTTTGTTTTTACACGATCTATACCATTAAATTAAAATTTTTGTTTGTATTAACCATTAAGTACTGTCGTCTGTCAAATATATCAATTTAGTGTATTTATTTTTCTTGATGTAGTTATTTAGGGGGGGGGGGGGTAGTATTTTGAAACTGAATTTCGAATATTCTTCCTTACAAATAATCATTTTTATTTTTACTTTTGTCGATGAATCCTTTTTTATTTGAAATAAAATTATTGAGATGATTTCCTCTCACGTAGTTTCAAACATATCTGTTGACATTGATTCTGAGAAAGCATATTATACCACTGGGTCATATTTGCCACTTAAGAGGGTAGTTTTCATAGTAGTTGTCAACATCGTATCATTAATTTATTCACATGCCCAAATCATTCTATACATTTAATTTGAAAATAAAATAAATCAAATAATAGGCAACATTTTTTTGATTTTACTCTATTGTGAGTATGATACATACGATAAATACAACAACGTATAACACGATAATAGTATAATATTTAGTACCCTGTCCCCTGTCGTTTTATTGTACCTTTATATATGCATATAGTGTTCCAAGAAAGTTGCTCCGTGACACAATGCTGTGAAAATCCACATGCCACGTTTTGCTTCAATGGATTGTGCGTGTGCAGACCTGGGATGGACGAAGAATGTATGTGAGTACGATACAAAATAAATCGACATTATCACGTTAACAAAGCGCTGACAAGTATAAAAGTATTCGGATATGAGACGACACTATAATATTGCACTAGTATTATAATATAATTTGTTTTAAAAATTGTACATAGGCAATTTCGACGATATTTTATGAAAAATGAAACTAATATTTTAAAATCCCTTTATTATACTATCATAATATATCCTTGTTCAACACAAGTCTATATAGGTTGATTTAAATTGCATTGTTATTTTGTGTTAATCAACTCAGTTAATAATTATAATAATTATATAATATTTATAGAACGAACCAATTTAAATCATTGATATACATTACACGTCATAGAGCTTTTTTTCAATAACTCGATTGGCCTATCTACTAGATATATTTCGATAAAATTAATTAAAATAACTATTAACAAAATATGTTTATAATTAAACTGTTTTAGATTAATAATTGTTATCAATGTTTACCAGAGTGAATAAAAAATGCTGTTGGTATATTATATATTAGCATAAAGTTCATCTCTGTAATTAATATAATAAATATATAAATATATCATTATATCGAGATAAATAAACATATATAATTAATATAATATAACGAGTGACGTAGTTGGTTCGCACACATACATAGCCAAATAGTCTCATAAAGTCATATGTATTATGTATTATAGGCACTACCTCAATTGGCTCGATTATCGTTTTTAAAAATCGTTTCAAAGAGTTGAGACTGATACTCAATAGCTATAATGAGACTAATAATAATATAATATTATGATATTATGATCCTTATGACCTTATGTTACGGGTAATGTTAACATTAGTTAGTTTATATGATATTAGCAGAGGAGCAAGTAAGGGAGCCTTAAACACCTCCCCCCCACAAAAAAAAATTCAACAACTAATGACTTGTATATGTTATTATTAAAAGCATCATAATAGATCCCCCTCCCCACACAATGTCAAACACCATTAACGCCTATCGATATTAGCCTGCAAGGACCTTTAGATGATGTCTTAACGATTAATAATCATCATAAAAGACACAATTTTATTAAATAATAAGAGTAAAATAAAATTTAAATTGTATTATACACCTAGCTTTTAATGAGTTAACAAATGGTTAAAAATAATGTTGTTAATAAGTTGATTGTATGTTTCCAAATAACTTTTAACTTAACTGTGTCAAAAAAAATTAGGAAACCTGACTATTAACTTTAGATTTTTTAAATAATGTAACTCAATTAAAAAATAATCATTAACTTGCCGGTCTTGTATAATCCTAGTGTTAACATTACCTAGTCATTAACCGTAACACATACCACTGCAAAGTCAAAGATCGCAATTAGGTACCTCCGTCCAGTCTCTATACCTAATATACTACATCGAATACTTTTAAAAAAAGTTTCACATATTCGAAATGTCGTGGTTGGTTGATCTGACCACGTGCCATTTTAACACAGTTCGGGGATTTACAGAGGCAGGTACACGCCGACGCTGGGCATTCAGCTGGCCAACACTCTTTCGGTGTCGTTCGCATTCGTCTTTCTCGCCATCACATTCATCGCGGTCATCAGGAAAACGTTGTTCAGGTAAGACAGTGCCGTTTATGATTTACAGTAATAGAATCCGCTTTTTACGATACGATTCCGAATAAAATAATTACCAGTCAGTAACTGATCTAGAAGCCACACGAGGGGGAGACAGTTAATTTTCAAAAATTAAATTACTTTTTTTGGCCCAATACCTATAATATATATTAGAATAAAAAAATAACAATGGCGGATCCAGACATTTATCAAGGGAGGACGGGAATTAAAATGAATCCAACACATACTATTCATACGTCTTAATAACATACTTTTTAATATCACCATTCTTTTGGCTAGTGAGTACCTACGTTATTATCGTTATAACGATTTGTAACGCAGAATATAACTAGTATTTCTCACAAGTCACAACGTAATAAATTTGAATAAAACAAGTTCAAGTAGGGGGGGGGGGGTATTTACCCTATTACATCCCCTCCCCCTTTGGATCCGCCACTGACAAATAATGTAAAAATACAGCACAAAACTTAAAATAAATATTTTACTCTTTTTATTTCAGCGGTATTACCCTGATATTTAAATTGAGATATTTAAAAGTAATTATTGAAAAAACAACAAAAATATTATAATATTACTATAATGCGATATCAGAATGATATACATTTCTTTATATTTGTATGACAATAATTATTAATATTATTTAATATTTTGTGGCTATGAATGACGAAATCGCGTGTTTAGGTATTCATAGAAATAGCCATTAAGAAATTAACTACCTACTATGAGTACTAATATAAATATTACCTTTTTTAAAAGGTGCTATGTTTAAATAATTTAAATTATGACTTTCAAACATCATGACGTTGTAGTTTACTAGTTTACAATTTTTGCTTTTTAATATAATGTATTAATGTAAGATATAATACACTATTATAATGGTTACTGACCCATAATAATAACATTATACTATTCAATAACCATAAATCATGATACCTATTATTATATTAACCTGCAGTTATAATCGTAGTAATTAAATCCATAAATAGTTGAATATATAATTTACCTATACGTGTTTAATATTTGTTAAATTGTGGGTGTTACCGCACCTCCTCAACAGGATATAATTTTTTAGGGGGGTTTTTTTATACCTATTTGACCTAGTGGCATTTTTACAGGTGCAGATTTTGCAGGTCCGATTCGATGAGCAGAGTATCCAGCGACAGTTCGCTGAACGAGTTCGTCAAGCAGAAAATGCAAAACAGGCCGCCATGTTACGACGACATAGAAAAAGACCGTAAAGTTCCTATTTTTGACTACACTAATCAGGTGAGTCTTATCACATTGCATAATTATTAAGTGCTTGTAAAATTTAGACTAAATACTAAATACATAATTACATCGGTACTCATGTCTCATACCTATTCCATGGCTGCATACATTTACTTCGTAATGGCGCGATAACGGAGTGACCATGTGACTGGAGGAGGTGCTTTTCACCATTCATATTTTCCAAATAATCGTTTAGCTGCACTCTCTCGGGAGTTAAAAACGTATTCCTTAAATTATTATTTCAAATCACATCGATAAATTATTAAATTTTTTTATACAACCCTCACACCTTTGAACCTTTCCTATATCGCGTCTTAATGTAATTTAATTATATATATATTTATATTTAGATATACCTAAACTGTAAGGCCGGGCGCCTGCAGGGCATGAAAGAGCTAAAAACTTAAAGTTTATTTTATTTTAACTTTTTAACTTGATGAATTTTTTTATCAAATAACATTCAATTAACATTTAATTTGATTCGGTTTTAATAAACATGAAATTAAAAAATTAAGTTTTCACTTTAAGAAGTTTAATTTAATAATTAATTTGTTTTAATTTTAATTTAATGTTATTGCATTTTAATCGATATCATTTTCGTGTTAAAAATATTTTGGGTAATGTTTAGTGTGAAACTGTGAATTGATTTTTTTAGGGATGAAAAACTTTAATATAGAAATACTATTTATAAACACTACACATAGTTTTCAGTTAGTGTAATAAATAAAGTAGGATTATGTTATTATAATCAAAAACAGAGTGTGTACTTATTATCTTAACTATATTAACCAAAAATGTAATTAAATTTTTACTTCTCTGTTCTTGATAATACATCATAGGTAGCTTGACTTAACCTAGGTAGGCAGTTAAAAAAACATCAACTTGCCCAGTGTTTCTATATATAATAATAGTTGTAAAATAATTTTTTTCTCTGAGGAGAGTAGCTGTATTTTTAAGTTTTTAACCCTGATCAAGTCGCACCGCGTCCAAAAAATTGGGTCTTAACGCGCGTTTTATTCTCAGGTCATTAAATATCGTTACTTTTTTTTGTCAGCCACCGCCCGAGTACGGCGCAACTCATTTCAGCCGGCCGGGCACGTTCCTGCAGGGCACCCTTAACCCATCCCTGTCGATCAGCAACGTAGTGGAAATGCACATGGCCCCGCCGAACTATTCGACGTTCACGACCGTCACCGAAGTCTCGACGGTGACACCGACCACTGCTGGAGACACGATCGGTCGGACCAACGACGAAATAATCCTCACGCAACCGATCTACACGAATCGCGAGTTTTTGAGGCTCGCGTAAGCTATTTCCGCCGTGTAGATACCCGCGCTCGCATATGCATGAGATATTAAAAATATACTTTATTATTGTGTTTTACAATCGATTGGTTTTACTCGTGCGCACGACCTGCTGCAGTCTCGAGATCTCTGTAAATACAGATCACAGCGGCGTATAATCCGTACGGGCCAGGGTATACTGTAATATCGTATTTCGTACCATGTATAATATTAAGCGACATCGCGTGACTATATTTGTGCGTATTGCGCACTTTTTTTTATTCCTTCTCATACTGTACCACATTACCTTCAACCAATTCACTTATTATGTTATAACAATAAACCGGTTGGTCCATTTAACTCAAGATACTCTTTATTTTAAAAAAAAAAATACGTTTTTGAAAAATATTTTATTTAAATAGCTTTAAATCGTTACTTAATTTTTTTTTTCTTTGGTTAATGACAACGTGTGTTTTTAGTTACTTATTCCAAAGCGACATATTTTTAAGAGTACTTTAATGTATAGAATCGAATTTAGGACATAATATAGTTTATATGAGTTACAGCAGGCGGGGTTCCTGAGAAAATGGTTGGTCCACTGCTCCGCTCTTCTAAACTTTAAATGCTCATAACCAATAAACTATACTAGTCCGAATTTGTACTATTATAGATCGAAATACTCTGAATAATATTCTACTATGAAATGTGAGATACCACAATAATGCATGTTAACATTTTAAAGACTAAAAAACTTAAAAAATGATAAAGGTACAAAATAGTTAGAAATAAAAATGTTTTCCAAAAATGTTGTTTTGTAACAGGTTACAAATTATGTAAAAGCAATATTTTCAAACAACATAAGTGTCATATCAAATAATGAGTATCTTAGGTTGAATTAAATCAATATATTAGGCCCATATATGGATAATATACGACTGACGATATAGTGTACATACGTCTCTACATCGACCGCTGTATTATAGTGTATAATATATTATGGGTTTGCCCGTGCGTGATCAAATGTCCGAGAAAATTATTATTATATTACATTATGTTCTTTTTTTTCGTTATTCAGTATTTGTATTTGTATTTTTTTTTTTTTTGCACGTTTTAATTTGTATACGCGTCATATACATTTTATTTTTTTTTTACATATTTTCATTATCATCAGTGATATGAGTACCTATTTAATGTAACAATGTTGTGATATTATAAAGTAATAATAATGACTATTACCATATTACTATATAATAGACGTAGGTAGTTAGACGCGTGTATCTAATACGTGTACTCAGCCTATTATTATCTACGCACGCAACCTACTGATGATATTATAAAGTGCGAACGTTTAACTATTGTTGTTTAACGTCATTCGTTAAAAAACCATCTTTGTATAATATTATATTAGGTATGTACCTATACATATTTTATTGATGTTAAATCTCGAATTAATATACGATTTCTAAACGTTTCTAATACCTATTGTGATTATTTCCTTTTTTGGAAATCCTACATCTTTACTTCATCTATATTGTATACTATACGCTTATAATTAATGTAGAAAAACGGCGATTTTTTTCTCTCGTTTATATGGGTACTAATGTAATAAATAATAACATTAATAATATCAGGTGATTCGTGACTGCTAACCAAAGCGCATGCCGCCAAACGATAACGTTCATATTATTAGATATTACTCGATAAAGAGGTATAATATGCGATTGCATAATATTGCTGTGCACAGATATTCTGCAGTTTCCTCTAAAGTTATGTTTTGCCGACATCAATAACGACTGTCAATGAATCGCAAGGGCAGACTTTAAAATTGTCCAGAGTTAATTAATCCACGATTGTTTTAGTCATGTTCAAATATCCGTTATTATGGTGCTTCTAAGGTAAATTATTCTAGCAGTTTGGCAATTTCAACACCAGAGGAAAAGACATCAAATATAGTTTATGAAGAAATCGTCAGTACAATAACTACAAATTAATTATCAAATAAATAGACAACATATTATGTGTTAAAAACAAAATCAAATTCAAAACTAAACTTATATTTTGTTTTTATTTTTAAGTTAAGAATAATATTACACTGAGTGCTAAATGACAAACTGAACAAAGCTTAAATCATAAAAGCTATAATATACCTGCCTATAATATATCGGGTGTTTTTTTAACGATATGGAATTTTGAAGTTTCTTTATTTTTAACATGCGATTTTTTTATAACAATCTAAAAATTGTTAAGCACGCATTTGTACCAATACCAAAATCAGCATTATTTTTCAAAATATGGTAACAACTATATTTTGATTATATTTTAATAGTCAATTATCATCTATTTTGAAGTAGTTTATTAATTACGGCCCTCTAAAGTATAGTAAATGCATTAATACTTTAATTGAAATAATTGGTATCAATTTAATACTTAAATCGGCAATCCAATGACATACTCAAAAAATAAAAGTTTTCATTTTTGGGATAAATGGCTACAAAACGGTTAATTTAACATATTATACAATCATAAAGCAAAGAGTAAGTACTATTATTGTAATAAATAATAATTATTATAACCATAATTAATTGATTACAGTTATTTTGCTTACCAAATTGTAATTCTTAATTATATGGCTAAGGTAATAATAGTATTTGATTAAAATTTAATAATAATATTGGAGATTAATGTGATGGTATAATTCCATCAGATTTAAGAACAAAGTTACATACCTGATACCAGTATAGATGACTATACAAGTGTAGTCTATTTATGTAATTATTGCTTATTTTAAATATGATTATTTAACATCAGAGCTCCGATGAATTAAAAACAAATATTTTTGTTGATTTTTTGTTTATTGAAAAAAAAAATCATTTTTAAATTAAATGTTCAAATTGCCAAGCCATTTACTTCTTGGCAGTAGTATAAACGGTCTACGAATTCCTGACGAATATTTTGAAAATGAACGATTGTTAAGTTACGACACTCGTCAAAATGATTTTGCTTCAAGCTGTCAACGGTGTCATTAGGTGTTCTATAGACCACTGCTTTTAAATGACTCCAAAGAAAAAATGAATTGGTGATCACGTGGGCCATTCAATAGGTTCGCGTCGCCTGGATATTCTTGATTTCAATAATCCCTGGCATAAATATTGAGTAATAAGCTGGGGCATCATTTTGTTGAAAAATTATTTTTTCTTCAGGTCCATTTCAATGCCCCCCCCCCCCGCTTTCAAAATTTGAACTTCTGACTACGCCAAACGTTTGTGCATCGTTTGTGCAGAAATGTGCACCAAGTCCCGACGTTTGTGCAAAAAAACTTAAAGTTCTATCCCAAAAACAAAGTGGGCGGCATTGAAACGAGACACCCCCTTTTTGGAAAATTGAAATATTTTTCATATTGATGAAATATGTCGTTTAGGTTAATAGGCTTAGTAGGATTTTAATTTTGTGCAGAAATAGTAGGTACATAATATATATTTTAAACATAATTTTTTTTTGTTAAGTCAAATTAGTGAGACATATTCCGCAAAAAGATAATACAACTTAATGTTTTTTTTATTAATAAAACTTCAAAAACATAATTTCCTTTTGTGTTCAGATAACAAATAAATAAAAATAAACATAATATTTAAAACCTCAGCATGGTAAAAATGTTTTAAGTTGATACTTTGTACAAAAATTAATATACCTATATGTACCATTGTGTTTTTTTATGTCCCGTGATTTTTGAAATTTTTTTGCTAGGTACTCAACCGATTGACGTACGACCTAACATCACTGAGGTAATAAATAATTGCGATCCCGTATGGGCTTTCCATAAATGAGTGTTTTGAAGACAAAAACTGATACCCCCGTGGATTTAAAGGGGACACATACAAGGTAAGATAAATAATAATTTGTACATTTCCATTTATATAGATATTTAATTAGAAACAATATAATCGAAGTTGCCAAATTATTATTAAAATTCAAAATAATAATTATTATAAAAAAAATCAAATATTCGACTAGTCCAGTGATATCTTCTGAATTCAATTTTTTTGGTAAAAAAAAAACAGTATTAATTATAAATAATGTATTTATTTCTAATAATATAATAAACTAATCAGTACAATGAATTACAATTAACTATCGAATTAATATATAGAAATATTCAGAGTATAAGAATAAGATAAGTACAAGAGTATTTTAGATCCAATATAAAAATATGGTTTAAAATATAAGTACCTACTTCTTAGTGATGGAAAGTTTGTCTGGTATCGGCAATCATAAGTAATCAATAACCACAATCGGAACTTAACCGGATATTTACAGTGCACCTATAATCTGTATATTTGGCAACGTTGAATATAATATGATTATATATTATTTCACGCTTGGTATTATAGACTACATAGTACCTATGTAAAATTAACATAAATAAATAATACATAAATATCTCAATTTAAAATGTCAATTTTGCTTACCTACTCGTAAAAATAAAAATCTAATACTTATAAGTTTTATAATAATACAATTTCAAACTAGGAGTACTGATTAGTTTTTGCGTACACAATATATTATAATATTAATATTATAACATAATAGTGTCCAGATAACAATATAATAATAATGGATATATTAAAAACCTTGCAATTGTTTAAATGTTAAGATATAACAAATTATAGTACAAACATAATAATAAAAAATAAAAATCATAATGCATAATTGATAAAAAATTAAATAGAAAAATAAAATAAACTTCTTAAAAACTCTTACGTGTAAATATTATTTGTAAATTCATTATCTATACGTCTATACATAATAGTAATATAATATTATTATTACAGGAATCATATAACTCTGAAATACTATTCACTGTTCAGTTATTAATAGATAACATTTAAATATAACTCATAGATACAAATCCATGCCTATTACTCAAAGAAAAACCATATGCAAAATTACTTAAGAGTTCAATATAATTTTCAAAGTGACCTTGGCGTTTTCATTGACGGAGTGAACTTTTTCTTTAATACCGTCATATGCGTTTAAGTACACCAATAGCGTATACAATACCAATAACATAACCTAACCTAACCTAACCAATAGCATAAATCATGAATGTAATTTTATGTAATAATATTAACACCATTTCTAGTAGCTTTCATGTATGATAAACATGTATGAATAGAGAATGCTTTGACAATCTGTTAAGGTCAATAGGTTTGGTTTTTAGAATTTTCTAATGCGTTAATACCAATTTTAGAGTTAGCAACATATATCATAATAATATAGGCATATCTGACCACAATTTAGGAATTGGGATTAATATTCATGATTTATCTTTGGTAAAATGTTTCAAAAGTCAGATATGGCCAATTTTAGTTTCCATGGAACATTTTAAAATTTAGAGATTTAAAAATATCAAATAATTTGTGATGCGCTTACAAAATCGTTGCAACAATATTTAAAGAGTCACAAAGCTTATTGCTTATATTGGGTGCACATCGTGTATGGATTAATATGCTATGTACAGGATTGTCGTTGACAATAATTTTAACAAAACTAGTAATACAAATTAAAAATGCCTTGTACCTATGAATATCACAAGACGTCAACATATTATAAAAATTGTACGGTGCATAGAAAATGCTTATATTAAAAACATTTGGTGAAAATTCCTATCTAAAAAAGACGTGTTTCTTTATTTTTCCACCAGTGAGGTTGCCTTAAAAAAAATATCGAACCGATAACATGGTCATCTAAAACACCAGCCCAGACATTTAATTTTTGGGACCATTGAGTGTGTCCTTGTCATGAGACATAGTGATTAGATTCGGACCAATAACGACAATTTTGAGTGTTTACATCTCTAAAAAGGGAAAATCATGATTTATTACTAATATATAAAATCTGTCTAAATCAGCATGATCCCTTATTTTTTCTAAAACTGTCTCACAGAATTCTAATCTTCATCGCCTTCCCCTACCTCTTGAACAAAATTAATTTTAAACACCTTATATTTTTGATTGCTTAGTATACGCCAGTAACACTTTGTTTGGCAATTCCTAATTCATCGGATATTGTGTTGTAGTCTGTAGACTTGGTAGGATCATTGGAAATCATGCCTAAAACCGTTATTTATAAATGTTCGTGTTTGATAACTTCTGGTATTCGTCGTGTCTTTTTGTTTTGCCTAGAACACTACCAGTTTTACATAACAAGAGTTTGAAGTGCGGTTTTTGGACTTTTTTCTATAACTGAAAAAATTAATGAATTAATTTCAATATTATCGCAATGACGTAAACTTTTAAATACATTTTTTAGCTAATTTTAAATAATTAAATGTATACAATTTACTTGGATGTAAAATATTAAACTGCCTACTGGTTTCGGCGAGACATGTATTGGTCGAATCGTGCAAACAATTAGCTCGACATGCTCTTTAGGAACATAGTTATAACAAGCTAACGAACCAAAATTGATGAACTGAA